TTTTGCAGCTTTCTTTCAATTCCTTTATGCAATCTAATGTATCCTCCTTCACTAACAGAGCGCTGGCGGAGTTTGCTTTTGTAAGTATCATCTTGGCTGGAAGTGACGCTTTCCGGCTGGGCAACTGAGGTGCTGTGTTCAGTACTCTGACTGCCACATTTTTGCTTGAGTGTCTCTGAGGAGCCTTCAGAAGCAGTGTCCACGTCTGCTTTATCACTTCCATTTTTAACTGTCTCAATTTCTGTTTGACTTTGTGCAACCACAGCTTCCACAGCTGATGGCTCAGTGCCGATTCTGTGGTAGAGGCTATTTGAAATGCTTTCCACCAGCTGGATCTTGATGCAACTTTCAGTTGTTCCACACTCCTCCATGGGCTTTGAAAGACCACTTGGAGTGGCCTCCAGAGGCTCTGGGCACACGAGGCCAGGCTGGGGGGCTGCTGCTTCATCTGTCTCACCAGAGGAAGGAGTTCCATTCACAGCTACTGGCACTTCACTGGCTGTGAGCTTAAGTTGCTCAGCACCATCCATGGGCTGTGTCTCAACTTCAGCCTGCCCTCCTAAATTTTGTGTGGACTCTACTGTTTGAATATCTCCCTTTTGGTACAGCGTAATTTGTTTCTCTTCCATCTGTTTGTGCACATTTTCGCAGATTTCGAGGACCTCTGACATGAAGAGATGCCGAGCCAGCATGGCCACTTCTGCCATGCTACAGAAGTCAAAAGTTAATTCTGAAGTATAAGCAAATTCCAATAGAGGCAGGAAACTGGACTTGCAGAACCCTACCAGGAAATAAAACAAGATATTACAGCAAACACTGATGACCTGGAATTACACCAAAACATCCTATGACGAATACAACAGTTCATCTCTGATAAGGGTAAGACTGAAATTTAGAGCAAAACAGGCCTGCACATAACACTGAAGCCCCTCCAGCAAGACTCAGTTAATTGTCATTTACACAAAGGCTTCCTCCTCCTGTATTTTCTATGTGTATGTAAGCTCAGGCAACTTTTCCAATAACTAAGTTACACTTAAGTAGTTTCACAATAAAATTCTCTAGAAGAATGTTACAAGATGCTGTGAAAGCCACAACAGCTCTGAAGTAAATTAATTTCACCGAAGCCTTTCTGGGCTTGCTACATCCAGAAAGTACTGACATAGCAGAAAAATAAGACAAGAAAGAGACTATTGAAAACTAATAAACATACGGATATAGAGATAGAAATGCTTAAATATAACAATTTGGTATAATTCTCCACAGTTGTGTGGACGCTTAAATATAACACACTTGGTATAATTCTCCACAGTTGTGTGGAAAATCAAGTATTTAATCTGGGGGAACCTTCTGGACCTTCACATCAGAAATGTATTGTTCCTGTATGTCCGTTTTTCATGCAGAGACAGACGCAGTTATTGGGGGAACCTTCTGGACCTTCACATTAGAAATGTATTGTTCCTGTATGTCTGTTTTTCATGCAGAGACAGACGCAGTTAAGGAACTCGTGAGAAACCAAAGCAGAAGGTGTATGTTCTGTACAGTATCCTTCATCACCAAAAAGCTACTCTTAGAACATTTGTTTTAGAATTGTCTCCTATCTTTAGTGTACCAGAAGGTTTGAGAAATGAGCAGAAACGTACAATACAGCTTCACAGAGCTAAGAAACAATTTGGCATTTGTTCAGTTAAACAGTTCTATGAGAAGCTAGTCAACATCCCCTCTTGGTGTATTCAAGCATTTGATTATGTTCCCTTTTTTGTGTTTATGACTAATACAAGGAGGAAACATGCCTAAGCAAGGTAAAAATCAATCCAAGTGTTTATGACTAATACAAAGAGGAAATATGCCTAAGCAAGGTAAAAATCAATCCAAAGCTTGTCAGAAATTTTAAGATGAAATCCCTTAGCCCATGGAAAATCAGATGAGGCAATATCAGAGTGATCACGTAGCATTAAAATCCACACAAAAATACTTTAAAAGAGAGAGAAAATAAAAGCAAGATAAAATACTTTGTTGTCTTAGGCAAAATCTGAGTGATCACTTTAGCATTAAAATACTTTAAAAGAGAGAGAAAAAAAGCAAGATAAAATACTTTGTTGTCTCAAAAAAAAAAAAAAAGACTGAATTAAATATTGTACAGTTTACTTCGGATATTATGATTTCTAGCTTTGAAACCCACAGCAATTCACCTGACAGATCCACTACAGCTTCATGACTAGTGACAGCTCCCTTTTCAATGAAGAGCTCTCGGAAGTACTCGCTGTTGGCTGCCAGGACAGATTTGTGAGCTTTGTACTCCTCTCCTTCAATCAGCAAAGTCACATCACAGAACTGATTGGAAAGCCTCTGCTGATTCAGTTGGTTTAAGACTGACAGACAATGTTTGGAAGATGACTGCTTCACAAGGCCTTTACTGTCAACCTGTCATAAACAACATCAGGAGAACTTCATTACGTTTAGATTGTGCCTTTTTAAGCATTCACACTCAAACACAGAAAAGGATTATTTTCTACAACCATACAATCAGTTCAAGCCTATATAATACACAGCTTAACCTTACTATTGTTGTCTTTCTTGAAACACTTCAATTTTCACCCTCCCTCCAGAAAGAGTTAAAACAGACAACTGGGAAAATGGGAAGATAAACATCAAATAACTGTTTGAATGTTTTTCCACGTTACGGTCTGAAACAGTTTCTAGCATCAAGTGCCTTTACATGCATATGAGCCCACAGTTACAAAGTAGAATTTTATATACAAAAATAGCATCCTTTATTAAGGAACAGATATAGATTCCCTGAGAATCCTGTACATGACATTTTTCCACTGATAATTTTGTAATTCATTTTCCCTTTGATTCTATCTGCATAAGTCGGGTGATTTTATTTTCCAACAGTGATATACTACAATGAATTTTAGTTTGTGTATATCACTAACCCATTTCCACATATTATCTTTGACAAAATTCATATTGTCTTATTATTACAAGATTACCACAACAACCAGGAATGCAATAACACACAATTTAGATCCATTCCGATGTGAACAACGGTACTTACAAACACAAGCTCATGCTTTGCTACTGGCTTTTTCTTCGCAGGCTTTGGGGATGCAGCTGGGATTGATGCTGTGTTACTCAATTCATCATCTGTTTCATTACTGTCTTCATGAGATTTTGCATCCAGGCCTAGCTCCTCCAGCATTTCGGAAGGATCTGACAGAGATCTTGAGCGATCCAGCTTTTCCTGGCATTTGCTGCATTCTTTAATGTAGTCTTTCACCTGCTTAAGAATACCTAAGAAAAATTAATGGAGCCTTATTAGATTTCTAATCTTAGTTCAATTTACCGTAAACATGTAATTAAATATGTAGGTGATTAGCAAAACAGTATTACATGCTAACCAAGAAAAATGAAGTCAGTCACCTACACTTTCTTTCTCCGACTTTTTACCAAGTTCCAATTCCCTTGGGCCATTGCATATTGTATGTCACTACTGTGACCTATCATTCATTTGAGACAGAATGTTGGGAATGTCACTACAATCAAGAGAATCCTCTGAGAAAGATATTTAAAGCTAGGAAAAAATAATTGTATTTAGACATTTACCCCAAGACAATGGAAGCCATAACCTAATCCTGTGTTTAGCCCACACAAATGGATCTCAACTTGTTCTTGCTGAAGGGGGCAAGAACTGGAAGGCTCACCGCAGAGGTTTTACAAAACTGGGATCAACTGTGTTATGTGCAGTGACACTGATAGGGACTATTAACACTGATTTAAATCAATTGCCTATGATTTTGGAATTTAAAGAAATTAATCTCCCACCAGCACTTTCACCGGTGTAACTAAACTGTTTTAGATAGTCAATAGTTCCTAAGCTCAGGGTCCTCTCCTGGGTATGAAGACATTTTCTGTGTATGGATTTTAACCCAATTTCATTGTTTTCACCAGGCACCATAAAAGCATTTATAGCAGCAGTGCCTCTAGAGTTCAAAATCCAGCACAGCTCAAAAACTTGGCTGACACAGACAGAATTGCACTGCTCACACCTTCTCAGGAGATGCACTATCATTACATACCTATCTCTGTAAGGATCCAGAAAACACAGACTTCAGGCAATCCAAGACATTCCAACCCAAGACATTCACACCCATTTCAAACATATTTACATTTCCTTGATTTAATACGAAATCAGGGCTAGTTCTCAGGACAGGTCATCTCTGGTCTTCAAATCACATATCTAACAGCCTTCCTGGTCCCTGGGCCATACTCCAGCCCATTGCCTCCTAGTTACAAAGCAGACAGACACACCAGATTGACACCCATCTCCCCATAACAACTGGGTCAAAGCTGCTCTCAGCTACAATGCTGAAGAGCATTGTAGTGGCAGGGGAAAACAATGTTTTAAAGGAGACACAGAGAAGAAACTGTGAACTGAAATCAGGGCATGCATTTTAGTATTCTCAGTGCAAGAGAAGTAAGAGAGTACAGGTTGTGCAAATAAAGGTGACCAGTAAAATCAAAAGATGCAGAATACAAAACGGCCTCTCCTGATGAACAGGAGATATACTGAGGTCCATTGAGGAAGTTTCTAGCACAGGACGACGGTAGGTGGTAGAACAGTCCAACACAATAAGAACAAGGCAAGGAGTCCTCCATCCAGAATCAACTTAAGAGACACCTCGTTCACACCAAAGGATTTTCAAGTCAATGAGATCTGGACTGAAAAGATGAGCTACTGCTAGGGCAAAACTCTCTCGAAATTAAGGCAGGAAAAGCTAAAGCTGAAATGACAGACTTCCTGACTGACAGATAAAAAAAGCAGAGCACAAGAAAAGCCAGAAACTGGGTCCTGGGCAAGTGAAAAGCAGCATATTTGTTTCATGGACATCTAGGACTCAAAGTAGAACACCAAATCCAAAGAGAACGAGCAATCAAGTCACTAGTTCAGCCAAAACAAGGCACTGGTTGAGAATTATTGCTGTTCATGCACCACTATTTTTAAGAGCTGTGATATTACTCAGGACCCGACAAAGAATTAGTCTGGTCTTTTCAGCTTCTCATCAGAAGAAACAGACAAATATAGCAACGAAGACAAGGGCTCCAAACCACTACTGGCAGCTGCAGCACTTACACACGAACACCATCCACGTGCTGGCTGAGGTCAAAAGCTAAACCAGGTCATATGGAATGGATCATCTCTCCACACAGAATCATTACGGTTAGAACAGTCTTCCAAGATCAAGACAAACCTTTAACGGAAAGTCCTATCCCTAAGGAAACGTCTTCAGAATCACCGAATAATTAAGGCTGGAAGAGCCCTCTAACATCTTTGAGTCCAGACCCCAGCACTGCCAAGGCCACCACTGAACCACGTCCCTAAGCGCCACAACAAATTCCTCCAGGGACAGCGATTCCACCACCGCCCTGGGCAGCCTGGTGCTCGACAGCCCTTTCCGTGAAGCAACTTTCCCTAG